GCCTATTGGGTGGGCGTGGCTGCGGTGGTAACGGCAGACTGGGTGGGATTAAAAAGTTCAATCAATCAATTCCAACTTTGCAAGATCTTTTTTTTCCCCGTGAGAAGTTGAAATTGACTGATTGATTGAACCTTTTTTTTTTTTTGCACACGGCAGCGGAGGCCTAAAGCGAAAAGGTTTTATAAAACCCATCTGAAGGCCTAGCACGTGCCCACAGAGAGGGCTCTGAGTGCCACCTCTGGCACCCGTGTCATAGGTTCGCCACCCTTGTCCCAAGCTATCAGCTGCTAGACAGAACAGAAGCTGTAAGAGTTTTATGGGTTCACACATTCTGGAGCACTATGGAAAAGTGGCAGTTTTCCATTTCTAATCTGTCCTGGTCACCATCTAAATTGGGTGATCTTCCAGGACAGGAGAGATTAAATGCACCGCCTTCTGGAACAGAGCTAAGAATTTTGCTATTTGACAAGCCTGATGGGCCGTCCTCCTTGGCTCAGTGGCTCATGGGCTCCCTTCTCCACAGGAGACATGAAACTTCCACCTGAGGATTCCTGATTGGTGAGGATCCATCATCCATTCAGCCAAAGGTTCCACCACACAGCCTTTCTTTCACAAAACGTTTCTCTTTTCCTCCCATTGAAAACAGAATCCGGGATCAAAACTTCGTCTGGTGATGCTGCCTGTATATCCAAGAAGGGCAAAAGGTGGAAGGAGACCTGCGCCAGCTGGGACTCGAACCCGGGTCGCAAGATTGGGAACCCTGCATGATGCCCCTACACCACTGGCAGAGCTGTTGAGATCCTGTCTCAAGAGAAGCAATAGTTATATCCGGGCTTTCTCCTTTCCCATCTGATGGCGGGAGAGAGAAGCACACCGTGCCTTGTGACCAAGGGATCTTATGGCTGTCTAGCCAGCCCCAGCCACGGATGCTGAGGTGGGGGGAGCCGAGGGGGAGGCCTGTGCCAGGTCTCTGTGGCGCAAGGGGTTAGCGCGTCTGGCTGTTAACCAGAAGGATGGTGGTTCGAGCCCACCCAGGGACGGCCTGTTTAATGGCGTGATTCAATTCAATTCCATTCTCAATACTTTTTCTCACTAAATATTCAGCCATCTTCTGCATATTTTTTACCTTCCAGAGGGCAGACAGAAGAACAAGGCAGACTTGTTCACAATCAGTGAGTAAGGCGAAAGGGAGAGGAATCGCCCAGCGTGTCCACAGCTGCTTCCTTACAACAGAGAAGGGCTGGAGTGGCACAAGGCAGCCTGGAGCTGTCCTCGGTGGGAGCTCTCCAGGGTACTGAATCAGGTTCCTGTTGCAAAGATTATTAGGCCACTGGCGTGTTACTCCTAGGAAGGCAAAAGGGAGGAGGAGGAGGAGGAGGAGGAGGAGGAGGAGCTGAAAATCACATCTTACTCACAACTTACACACTTACCATTAATGCCTTCTCAGTGTCTGGGCAGTTGCTGAAATCGTTTGCCTACCAAGTAAAATAGGCAGCTCGGTTGAGAAGCAGAAGCATTAAACATAGAGCAGTGATGGTGAACCTTTTAGAGACCGAGTGCCCAAACTGCAACCCAAAACCCACTTATGCCGTTTACAGTGTGATGCTCCCCCTGCAGCCCCCCCATAGGGGACGGGGGGGGAGCCAGTCTGTTCTGCATCAGCTGCTACATCCAAGGGAGTTGAGGCGAAGCCTCCGCCTGTCTCTGTGGCGCAAGCGGTTAGCGCGTCTGGCTGTTAACCAGAAGGTTGGTGGTTCGAGCCCACCCAGGGACGGCCGTGGGTGCCCCACCCCCTTGACGAGGTGGCCGAGTGGTGAAGGTGATGGACTGCTAATCCATTGTGCTCTGTATTCGTGGGTTCGAATCCCACCCTTGTGTCCGCACCTTTTTCTTCTGGTTGCAGGATTTGGGGTGAAAGGGATAGTCCTGCTCTGTACACTGGAAGGGTGAAAAGTAGAGCAGCGTTGTTATTTTGACCTTGTTTGTGCTCTTTCATCATTTCATTTTTGTTGGTCCTTTCAGATCTATCTTAGGCTATTTTCAGAATTTCTTTCTTTGACAAGACATGTACATCACCATCCAAACTAATCTCTGTTGTGAATATTCTGGGGTTTTTCCCCCTAGTACAGTGGTGGCGAACCTATGGCATGGGTGCCAGAGGCAGCACTCAGAGCCCTCTCTGTGGGCATGCGCGCCGTCGCCCCAGTCCTAGGCCTTCAGCTGGGTTTTATAAAACCTTTTCGCTTTAGGCCTCCGCTGCCATGTGCAAAAAAAAAAAAGGTTCAATCAATCAGTCAATTTCAACTTCTCGCGGGGAAAAAAAAAGATCTTGCAAAGTTGGAATTGATTGATTGAACTTTTTAGTCCCACCCAGTCTGGCCTTACCACCGCAGCCACGCCCACCCAATTGGCCACACCCAGCCAATGGACCACGCCCACCCAGCACTTGACGATGCATAAGTGGGTTTTGGGTTGCAGTTTGGGCACTCAGTCTCTAAAAGGTTCGCCATCACTGCCCTAGTATTTTTCACAGACAACTATCCTTTTGGTTTCCAGCACCAGGGAAGGATAACTACCAGATTGAATTAAGGAACCAAATCACATTTATATGCCTGGCAATATGCTACGTACATTGACCAGGAAGGCCCCCCCAGTTATTCTTATTAATCATTGATGATCTTGCTTGAATATTTGTTTTTAACTCCCTTTCGTAACAGATTTCTAAACCACCTCTGGATTTTTTGCAAAGAGTGATTGTATATATAAAAAAGACCTCTACAGGTAGTCCTCAACTTACGACCACAACTGAGCCCAAGGTTTCTGTGGTTAAGCAAGACAAGTGAGTTTTGTCCCATTTTGCAATGCTTCTTGCCTCAGTTGTTAAGTGAATCATTGCCATTGTTAAGTTATTTGGTTATTAAATGAATCTGGCTTCCCTATTTGCTTGTCGGATGGCCACAAAAAGGTGATCACATCACCCCAGGACACTGCAAACGTGGTAAATATAAGCCAGTTATCTTAATTCTGATCACCTGACCCTGGGAATGCTGCAACGGTGGTAAGGGTGAAAAAATGTTCGTAGGTTATTTTTTTTTCAGCGCTGTTGTAACTTCGAATGATTACTAAATAAAGGGTTATAAGTTGAGGACTACCTGTACAGAAATGAAGTAGTAACAATAAACAGATAAAACTCTGCCTCCCAGCTCATGGGTGGTGGAGCATGAGGAAGTCCCCTGCCAAGAGCCCCCTCATTCCCAGCTCTGTTCTTTGAGGCAGCTTAACAGCTCAGGGCAGGATGATGGTCTTGACAGGTGACAGATGGATCCTCTGGTTTGATGGTTTTGAAGGTCATGAATGATGCAACCTAGAACTAAGGAGAAATTTCCTGACAGTTAGAACAATTAATCAGTGGAACAACCTGCCTCCAGAAGTTGTGAGTGCTCCAGCACTGGAAATATTAAGAAGAGATTGTCCGAAATGGTATAGGGCAGGGGTAGACAACCTTGGCTCTTTTATGACTCCTGGACTTCAACTCCCAGAATTCTGGGAGTTGAAGTCCAGGAGTCATAAAAGAGCCAAGGTTGCCTACCCCTGGTATAGGGTTTCCTGCCTAAGCAAGGGATTGGACTAGAAGACCTCCAAGGTCCCTTCCAAATCTGCTATTCTAATCTATTCTGATGGTTCTCTCATTTGCTGCTTCAGTGAAACTACAGCACAGGACAGTATTGTTGTTGTTAGTTGCGAAGTCATGTCCGACCCATCGCGACCCCATGGACAACGTTCCTTCAGGCCTTCCTGTCCTCTACCATCTTCTGGAGTCCCATTTAAGCTCACGCCTATTGCTTCAGTGACTCCATCCAGCCACCACATTCTCTGTCATCCCCAAATGGCAAATGGAGAAGATTGTGCAACAGTGGTAGATGAACCCCAAACCATAGTCCTTACTACCACATTGTTAGGAGGGCAGCTTTCATACTCTCCAGATGGTGCAGCTTCGGTTGACTTGACTTTTGGGACCCACCCCGGGAATGTTCTGATGGCCAACTTCTAGGTGGCCAAGATTTGTCCTTAACATCTTGGGGTGGGTGGATGGGAACCACTCTGGATGGGGCAATGATGCGCCCACATGACCTACACACAAATACGAAACTAGGATTTCCAGTGATTTTTATTTCCTCTGCATGGTTTGTTTTGACTAAATCAAGCCAATCCAGCAGTTATTTGAGTGGTGGAGTTATCCAGCCAGAGTGAGGGGTGGATTAAAGACACAAGTGGGCTTGGAATTTATCCAGGGAAGGAAGCAGCAAAGGCCATACCCTCCCAAAAATCTCTGAAGGTTTATCTTCCTTCCCAACAGAATGCAGCCAGTCTGGCAAGACTGTTGTAACAACCACAAAGCAACAACAAAGAAACAACTCTGATCAGTTCAGTATCCTTCTGGTTCCTTGAGTCTAAGAGTATGACAGATTTTGGCCTTGTTCTGACTGATCATTTTGAACGGCAAGAAACCGGTTGCCATTGACATTTCATCCCTTGAGGTTTTTTGGGGAGGGGGAGGGTTTGAAACAGGGTATACAAGTAGTCCACAAGTTATAACAGTTGGGATCAGAATTTCTCTTGCTAAGCAAGCTGGTTGACTCATGCCTCATTTTAATACCACTTTACAAGGCCTTGGTAAGGCCACACGTGGAATACTGCATCCAGTTTTGGTCACCACGATGTAAAAAGATGTTGAGATTCTAGAAAGAGTACAGAGAAGAGCAACAAAGATGATTAGGGGACTGGAGGCTAAAACATATAAGGAACGGTTGCTGGAATTGGGTATGTCTAGTTTAACGAAGAGAAGGACGAGGGGGGACATGATAGCAGTGTTCTAATATCTCAGGGGCTGCCACAAAGAAGAGGGAGTCAAGCTATTCTCCAAAGCTCCTGAAGGCAGGACAAGAAGCAACGGATGGAAACTAATCAAGGAGAGAAGCAACCTGGAACTAAGGAGAAACTTCCTGACAGTTAGAACAGTTAACTAGTGGAACAACCTGCCTCCAGAAGCGGTGAATGCTCCAACACTGGAAGTTTTTAAGAAGAGATTGGACAGCCATTTGTCTGAAATGGTATAGGCTAGGGGTACGCTGTGACAATTGTCAGTGCAAAGGCTGGTCTTTTATCAGTGCTGGTGTAACGTTCTTTTCTGTATTTATTTTCGTTTACCCACAAGAATAAAATAGGAAGCAGAAAAACAAACATCCAACATTAACAAAGAAAAAAAAAGAGAGAAATTATTTGTGTACAAAAGAAAGGGGAAAAAAACAACTCCCAAATGTCAAATATATCTAACCTTAAACATAAAGAATCCACTCTGGCCGGCTGCTGAAAAATAAATATACATAGTTCTCAACTTAACAGTTCATTTAGTGACCATTCAAAGTTGCAACGATACTGAAAAATGTGACTTATGACTGCTTTTCATAGTTACGACCTTTGCAACATTCCCCAGGATAATGTGATCAAAATTCAGACGCTTGGCAACTGGTTCATATTGATGACCATTGCTGTGTCACCTCTCCCTTTCCCCTCAGCATGGCTGGCTCAGGAATTCTGGGAGTTGAAGTCCACGAGTCATAAAAGAGCCAAGGTGGCCTACCTCTGGGCCAAATGAATGGTTGTAAGTTGAGAACTATCTGTTCTTATTTTTTAAACTGAAAGTTAACCATTGATCTATACTTGGTGTGAGAAATGCAAGCTCCAGTAAGAGAATAAGCAATTGGGTGTAAGTATCCCCAATTCCAGTGCTGACATATGTATCGACTCTTAAAAGTCACAGAGGCAAAACTATTCTAACTAACCTTTTTTCCCTCACCTTCAATTATGGATTGTCCTGATCATAGCACAGGTGTCCTTGACTTACAACCCCAACTGAGGGTAAAATTTCTGTTGCTGAGCAAGACAACTGTTTCGTCCCATTTTACACAACTTTCTTGCCACAACTGTTAAGTGAATCGCCGCAGTTGTTACATTAGCGTGGTTGTTAAAAGTGAATTTGGCTTCCCCATTGACGTTGCTTGTCAGAAGGTGGCAAAAAGGGTGATCACATGACCCTGGGACACTGCGGCCGTCATAAATAGGTACAGTTGCCAGGCGGTCGAGTCTTGATCATGTGGCCATGGGGATGTTGCAATGGTGTGAAAAATGGACATAAGTGTCATGCCTCCGTCTGAGCCTGAATCTGCGGAGGAAAATGAACTGGAACTAGACCCTATGGAGGCCAAGGGAGAGGTGTCTGTGGCTTCAGAGGAATGTGGGGAAGAGCAGGCCGAGGCAGGCCAGGGCTCTTCAGGATTGGAACAGGAGAGGCAGAGTTCAGGCAATGAGCAAGGGCCACCCCCACCTGATCCTAGATCACGGAGAGTGGAGAGAAGGAGGGAACAACGCAGGCAGGCTCAATTACTCGGGAGAAGAGCGTCCCGCCCTTCTCCACAAGGAACACCTGGAGATTGAGATTTAAGGAGATGCTGTGGGGAGGGACATTTGTCGGGAACAAACTCTGATTCTTGGAGTGTTGTGTATTGTTGCTGATCTCTTGTTCTGTGACTTCTGTTTGGAAACCTGGAAACTTGAACTATTGGATTGACTGACCACGTCACTTGAATGTTTAAAGACCTCGGACTGTATTTCGGATTCTCTCTTTTGAAAACGGCTCAGACAAGCTAGGATTCAAACAGACTCGTTAGGTTTATGTTTTCTTCCTTGTTATCTCTATGGCCTTGAGTACTTTCTTATGCTAATTGGACTGTATTTGAACCTACTTTCAGCCAGAGTCGGCTGAAGAGGTGTGTGTGTGTGTGTGTGTTCTTTTGTTGGAGGCTTGCCAGCAAAAGTGGGAGCATTTGGGGAAAATTTGGAGCAATAAAAGAACTGTTTGAATTGCCAGCTGACTGCATTGCCTCTGTGCTGTGCCCTGGGTCATCACAATAAGTCACTTTTTTCAGTGCCGTTGTAACTACGAACGGTCACTAAACGCATTGTTTTAAGTCGAGGACTACTTGTATGCCTATGATCTCTCTCCCAGCTTTGCTCCCTGATGGGTATTGAGATCTGATCTTCCCTCTAAGTGAGTCTCACCGCTTGAGCTCCTGTATGGATTGTCTCCTGTGTGAATGCGTTCATGTGTCATCAAGCCGGACTTCTGACAAAAGGTTTTCCCGCAGCGGGCACACTGATACGGTTTCACTCCGGTGTGAATTCGCTCGTGGGTGATGAGGTTTGACCCGTCGGTGAAGCTCTTCAGGCACACAGAGCACTGATACGGTTTCACTCCGGTGTGGATTCTTTCGTGAACTCTCAGGACCGCAGCAGTGCGGAAATTCTTCCCACAGCTGAAACACCTGTAGGGTTTCTCCCCCAGGTGGATTTTTTCATGTATGCTAAGGGTTCCCTTCTGACGGAAAGTCTTCCCGCACGTCAAGCATTTGAAAGGCTTCTCGTCCCTGTGGATTTTTTCATGGATGGTGAGAGTTCCCTTTTGCCGGAAGCTCTTCTCGCAATACGTGCATCGGTACGGCTTCTCTCCTGTGTGGATCCTCTTGTGGGTGATGAGGCTGGAGCTGCTGGTAAAGGTTTTCTGGCAGGTGGAACACCGAAAGGGAACCTCGCCGGTATGGATTCTCCTGTGGGCCTTTAATTGGGCAGATTTACGAAAAGCGATGCCGCATTCTGTACACATGTACGGCTTCTCTCCGGTGTGAATTCTTTCGTGGACCCGAAAACTGGAGCTCCGCTGGAAACATTTTCCACAATGGCACTGGTGGATTTTATGGCCGGTCCCAGCTTCTTCTGGATCAGAATCACTTTTACCAACAGAAACAACGTCGTCCAAGCTTCTTTTTGGGGAATTCCATTCTGTTTCTGGATCCTCCTGGTTCTTAGGCCTCACTTCCTCCTTGCAACGCTGGGAGGGTACGATGTCTCTTTTTAGTATCTCATTTTCCAGTTCCTCAGAAACGCTCTGATGAAGATGGTTGTCTTGGTTCATCAGTCTGCGATTGTCACCTTGAGGAAGGAAGAGGATCAAAAGTCTTCAGATAAAGCTCAGGTGACATTCTAGGTCAGGGGTAGGCAACCTCAGCTCTTTTATGACTCATGGACTTCAACTCCCAGAATTCCTGAGTCAGCATAGCATAGCATAGCTGACTCAGGAATTCTGGGAGTTGAAGTCCATGAGTCATAAAAGAGCCGAGGTTGCCTACCCGTGTTCTAGGTCAAAAATCTGCAGGATGAAGGATTCTTTTACAGCAGGGGTGTCAAACTCAATTTTACTGAGGGCCGCATCAGCATTGCGGTTGCCCTTAGGGGGCTGGGTGGGTGTGGCCAGAGTGGGTGCAGCCTACTGGGTGGGTGTGGATGGAGTGGGTATGGCCTACTGGGTGGGCGTGGCCAGTTCTACATCATTTGCGTCAAGGGTGCCTGTGGGGGCCTGGGAAGTAGTAGGACAGATCTGTGGGTCTCTGGCAGAAGGGGGTGGGACCGGGGCAAGTGCCAAGGTATGGTCCACCAGGGCAAGTGCCAAGATGGCCACCACAAAATTGTACATCGGCTCCCGGCTGGCCTGGGCCAGGGCCAAGGGAGCGGGGGCCGTTCCCTCACTGATTCCAGGATGGCTTCGCGGGCCACATGAAACCACTTCAGGGCCTTGTGTTTGACATGTCTGTTCTACAGAGTTCACAAACACTTGCTTTTACCACTGCATTAGTCGCGATTCCTTGCTACTGGATTTTATGTAACATTCCTTAATCTTGTTTAAACATAAGCCTCTTTGAATGTTTACTCACAGGGCATGTATGCTTTTAGGTATCAAATACCTTGTGGCTATTTGGGATACTCTACTACAAATTTCATGTTGAGGTTTATGTGACACAACCACTCTGTTTTAAAAAAAAAAGAAAGAAAATCTGCACATTCCTGACCTAATAAATCATGGAGAAAGTAAACTTCAACAGCTTCTCCACTTCACAACAACAACAACAACAATAATAATAATAATAATAAAGTTGGAAGGGACCTTGGAGGTCATCTAGTCCAACCCCCCAACCTTCCAGTGTTGGAGCATTCACCGCTTCTGGAGGCAGGTTGTTCCACTGGTTAATTGTTCTAACTGTCAGGAAGTTTCTCCTTAGTTCTAGGTTGCTTCTCTCCTTGATCAGTTTCCACCCATTGCTTCTCGTCCTGCCTTCAGGCGCCTTGGAGAATAGCTTGACTCCCTCTTCTTTTTGGGGTGTAAGGAACATTTTGGAGAGGACAATTAATCACTGTCAGATTGTTTTTCATCAGAACAAGAGTCCATCTAGCTTAACTCAGATTTGCCCCCCAGATGAGCAGAAAGCTGTAGGTAAAAAAAAAAAAAAAAGGACACAAATGCAAACTCTCATTCTATTTCTGGAGCACATTTGTCTTCCTACCTTGTGCAGGATTCAAACCTGGTTCCCTCACATCTACAGAATTATACCCAGTGGTGGGATTCAGCCGGTTCGCACCACTTCGGCAGAACCGATAGCTAATTTTTTGTTGCCCAGGCCCAGAATGGACTTTTGGAAGCGGCATCCCACACAGAGAACCGGTTGTTCACATATTTGAATCTCACCACTGATCATACCACTAGGGGCTGATCAAATATGTCTAGTTTAACGAAGAGAAGGACGAGGGGGGACATGATAGCAGTGTTCCAATATCTCAGGGGCTGCCACAAAGAAGAGGGAGTCAAGCTATTTTCCAAAGCGCCTGAAGGCAGGACAAGGAGCAACGGGTGGAAACTAATCAAGGAGAGAAGCAACCTCCCTCCAGAAACGGTGAATGCTCCAACACTGGAAGTTTTTAAGAAGAGACTGGACAGCCATTTGTCCGAAATGGTATAGGGTTTCCTGCCTGAGCAGGGGGTTGGACTAGATGACCTTCAAGGTCCCTTCCAACTTTATTATTATTATTATTATTATTATTATTATTATTATTATTATTATTATTATTATTATTATTAAATGCAGCTCACCCTTACCAAATGAACTCAGGTCTCTGTCAATCTCCAGCTTCATGTCGTCGGACAGTTGCCATCCCCATGAACCTAGTGGTGGAAATGGGCTTCCTTGGGAAGTCTCCTTAATTGCCCCCATCTCCAAAGGACCTGGACTCTGAAACGACACACACAAAAAATTATTCAGTGGAACAAAATCCATCCATCAGCTATGACGGGAATAGGCAAGCTACACAGGTCAGTCTTCCCATCTTTCTCTCAATGTGGGGGGGGGGAGATGAAAACAATTTCCCCTTCAGTTACTCTGAATGGAAGCAGGAGACCAGAGAGCAACGGAGAAATAGACTTGGAACAGGAGTCTTCAAACTTGGTCCTTTTATGATTTGTGGACTTCAACTCCCAGAATTCCTGAGCCAGCATGCGTGTGCCTGGCTGAGGAATTCTGGGAGTTGAAGTCCACAAGTCATAAAAGGGCCAGGTTTGAAGACCCCTGACGTAGACCCCTCATCTTCAAAGCTTTGTTCCTTAATTTGATCTATTATGTCAACAAATTGGAACTAGGGAACCCCTGTTCTCGAACAT